GATCAGTGTTCATATTTATGATTGTTATTGTAATATTTTATTAAAGTTGTAAAGATCAAATATTTAACAATGTGATAGGGAGATTTCCATTTTATTGTTATAGAACTCGCCATGAGCTTATTCATTAATTAACTTAAGAATTAAGATTCATCAGAAAATTCAAATAGACAATTCAAATAGAAAATTCAAGTAGAAAAACCATGAAATTTTCACGAGTCTTTCCCATAGAATTTGAATATAAAAAGTTGATAAATATGAATAACTCACAAATAACATGTTGGTGAATTGATATTTCGATGTTTATTAGCACCATCTTCAGCTGACACATAGATGAAAACGATCCGCATTCGAGCCCACCATTCAAAGACATCAGTTGATGTAGTGTCAGGGAAATTATTCCACGAAGATATTTCAGATGCTAAAAATATTCGACGGCGTCAAAGAAGTTTAAGATTATATGTACCAAAACTATTTTAGTCTATTTATAGCGGGTATCAGCCTTTTTCAAATTCTATTTTATATCTATAAGGATCTACTCTTAATATTCCTTCTGGAAGGGCTTTTTAGTCGAGCCGAGAATGACACATACAATCTTATATACAGTGTGACCCCGCAAAATTGGCATAATAACTTCGCCAATTCTCGCTCATATGATCTCAAATTTTAACAAAACGTGTAAAACGTAAGTTGACTGCGTGCACTTATCAAAATGAGAGCCTATCAGGAAAATGGTTCGAGTGTGCCAGTGATAATGAAAATATGCTGTTGAAATGGCCACCATGTTCATCTGACCTGACACCTTGTGATTTTTTTTCTATGGGGCTATGCGTTCTGGGTATGGCAATAAACTACATCCGCGTCCTGGGTATGTCGATAAACTACATCCGTGTCCTTGGTATGACGATAAACTACATCCGCGTCCTGGCTAAGACGATAAACTACGTCCAACAGCAAGGCCTCTGATAATACGTTTTTGAAAAAAATAATATTACGAGCTATACATTTCTCCCGCAATACGTTTTTGAAAAAAATAATATTACTAGTTATACGTTTTTGAAAAAATATTACCAGCTATACATTTTTGGGGAAAAAAATATTAACAGAAATAGATTTTTAACAAAACAAAAATATTACCAGAAAAAAAAAGTTGTCGGTATTAAATGACCCATTGAGGTTGATATGCCGTAAAACAAAACAAACCAAACCAATCTATGGGGCTATGTGAAGGGACAGGCCTAATTCCCCCCACACCACTTCCTACAAGGAAATTAAGCAGATACTCACTGAGGCACTGAAGAATGTTACGCAAGACATGCTACAGCGTGTTTGGCAGGAGCTGGACTACCGACTTGACGCGTGTCGTGTCACAGGTGGTGTGCATATTGAACATTTGTGAAGCTTTGCGAAATCAGTTATAAAATCTACATCCCTTTGATTAGCTTGTTCGAATTTGGTAATTTTTTTTTTTTATTGTTTAGCATGAAGCTTATTTAATTTCGTTTGCCTGAGACATGTAGTTACTCAGATATTCACATTTAAAATGATGTCAAATTTTGGGGGTGGAGAGACCCTGTATATTCAGTCGATGTGAATTTAAGCGGTGGTTCGTGAATTTGGGGACATAGTAACTATGAGTTCAATCCCTGTGAAGAGTAGCAGAGCCTGAGCAGTATTAAAAGGAATACGTGATCTACCTTTGTAGATTAATTAAAGTAATAAAATTCCCTGATAATTACTAGGAGAGTCTGTGGAAGGCCGGAGAACATAAAGACCGAAAAGTTGTGACAGCAATAACAACAATGAGAGTATTAGGTAAAAAGTAAATAAAAAAGAATTTTAACAATGAAATTTCGTTGGTCTTTAAGCAAACTTGTATAAATTAAAAATTACTACCGATTTATATATATATATATATATATATATATATATATATATATATATATATATGAGGGTCGAGTTAACTCAGACATTCACGAGTCTCTCCCCCCAACCATTACGGTCTTGAATCAAGATCGGAAGGTCATGCGAGAGGCAGCCTGTGTCATAGCATAGGTGGTCAGTATAGGTGGTTACTGGGCGACCAACTCGTCTTACTGCTTTGCTACGTGCCCAGAACAGTAAATCACTCGTGAGTTCTTTTTTTTTTTTTTTTTTTGCTCGCCAGCAGTGTCCTGCAAAGCGCATCCTATGTTCCCGTAAGATTGTAGAAATATCACAGATGGGTCCATAGATCTGTGATTTAGTTGGATGTTGTCTCCAAGAGATATTAAGTATAGCTCTCAGCATCCGAGTGTAGGTTCTATCAAGTTTAGACTGTATGGTTTTAGTTAATACCCAGGCAGTGGTACCCGTACATTAACAGCGGCGCGAAAGAATCTCCGCTTGAGGTTCTCTGGTAAATCAGATTTCCAGTTTACAACCATTTTATTCAGGGTAGATTCCGAATAAGGTACACTCCTATGTAAATTAATTAAAACAACCGCTTTAATTTCCTTTCTTTTACCACGCGGTCAGTTTTAGATCCACTGGAGTGACAGCGTTTAACCAATTTCTATTTTTTTTCTCAAATTAGGTCATTTGCAGTGGTGCGCAGTAATATGAATCTATTTTCGAAGTATATGATGAAATTTGTTTGACCTTGAAAAATATTGCATCAGATTTTGATCACGCCCATGCACTATTGTCTCGATTGTCGATTAGTTGTCCTACGGTAATTGTCTGCGATAGATGTTACTCCAAGGAAGAGTACGAAAATTGTAACGCTGCCAGTGAGCAAACCAAAGTAGAACAGTCTGGTGCGGAAACTCTCCTGATTTAAATCCAGTCGACTATCTGTGGTAATCTGCAAGGAACGACTTTGTGGAATGGATATACGAAGTACTGACATGTGCACTGGGTCATTTTTAATTGAAAAAATAGGGGAAAAATAAACAATAACGGAATTATCTGTTTTGTTTCAATTAATTTGCACAAGGGTGTAGATACAAGGGTGTAGATGCAAGGGTGTAGATGCAGGCACACAACCCTTATTCACACCGCTGCATATACTGAAATCCTCTGAATAAGAGTCACCAAATTTTTTCAAACACAAAACTACGACCTGGAGGTGGTTCATGAATTTACATACCTCAGCTCTACCGTTTCAGGCACCCTCACCCTAGGCAATGAGGTCAGCAGACGGATCGGACGAACTGCCACCACGTGTGGTTTCTAGGAGGACAAAAAGATTACTTCGAACACCCAAATTGCAGTCTACAGGGCAAGCGTCGTCAGAATGCAGCGAGACTGGACAAGAGAGACGTTACAACGCCTTTCATCTTCACTGTCTGAGACGCATTCTGGGCATCAATTGGTCCGACCGGTCCCCAGTTATCCAGCCTATGCACCCTTCTCCAACAGCGCTAACTCCCTTAGCTTGAACCGTATGCCGGATGGGAGGATTCCTAAGGTTCTTCTGAGTTATCTATAGTTATGGGAATGTTTTATTCTTCAAACACGGTCATCACATTGTGGCCGTGTTCATAGTTAATATTACCGAGTGTTGTTTTTTTTTATTTTAGGGCTTCCATTATTTTAAATCTTATATATATATATATATATATATATATATATATATATATATATATATGGATAAGGTTATTATGCTTGTATTTTCTACTAATATGTTTCGGATGCAGTTTTGCAGGTTTTTGTGTGTATTTAAATGAGTCCTAATGGAGCTATGGCCTGGTAGGTGTAACATAAGTCGTCTGGATAGGCATGTAGTAGTGTGACTGATGTAATTATTTGTGAATTTGGTTTGATCAGGAACACAGTTCCTTAAGGGGCATTTGAACTCGTAAATAATGTTGGTTCTTTGTAGTTTTGATTTTGCGGGTGTGTTGTTATTTTTTATGAAAAGATTACCTGTTTTAAATTTTTGTAATAGATAATTTAATTTCCTTGATCCGGTCGACACGGGTAATATATTTCTTTATGATATTTCCAGGTGAAGATTCAGCTTGCTTATAGTTGACCTATATTTGGCTTTTGTAGAATATATATATATTAATATTATTGTTTTTGCTTGTATGTTCAGTATCGTTATTAGTTACTTAGGAAAGAAATAGACTAATAATAGTCGATGAGGTATTTAGGAAAACCATTGTTAACTAGTGTCTGTTTTGCATTATTGAGTTCTTTAAGTAAAAGTAGACGAGAGGATGAATTCTCGTGTGCTCTCTTATGAAATTTTTATAACTTATTTTATAACTAAGTGGATATTCACTCTTAAAATTAAGGTGGCAAGAGTTTCTGTTAGTGGGTTTTTGTATACGTTAGTGAAAGTATTATTACTGTATTCTACGGGAATGTCTAAGAATGGAAGTTTATTTTTTGTACCAGCTCTGAGATAAAGTTAAGGACTTTATTTTTTTCAAATGTGGTTTTTAGATTATCTATTTCTTGTTTGTTTTTCGCTAAAATAAAAATATCATCCCCCCTAGCGGACATATATTTTGGGTTTAATAACTAGTTTAAATATCATGTTTTCTACATGGGGCATGTAATAATTGGAGAAGCACGGGCCGAGCGGATTTCCCATGCTCACACCATTAGTTTGGGTGTAGATTTTGAAAATAAAACATTCATAGATACATATATAACACAACCCATACATTCAGTTAAAAGTAAAATAAAATAATTTTTGATAATGGCTAAAAGAATAGCCGAAAGCGCTCTGATATGCAGAACGTTTCGACAGTTTTTACACACTTTGTGTCCAGAAAAGAAAACACTTGTACACAGACAAGAAAAATTAAATAAAAAGCTTAATCGCAGTACCGTTTTAGTCGCATTTAATGAAACATGTATAAATGAAGGATTGTTGCCTAGATACACAATAAATGCATGTATGTATGTCTTTATGTATGTTTTCAGTCTTTCGCTTTCTTTGTCCTCTTTCTTTCTTCCTTACACTGCATCTCACTGTCTGTCTCTCTTTCCGTCTTCATTTTGCTGAGATGACTGACTGCAAGAACAGACAGGTACGCGTACATTTCTGTTGCCTTTCCCTCCACCGATCCGCCCTCTGTTGGCATCTGCACACCCGACTCTGTATGCATATCCAGTGGCCAACTCTTTGCCCTCCACCCCGCGCCTCTCTTTTCCCTCACCCCCCCCCACCAACCCCATTTCTTGCCAGCCTTATGCCTATACGTTACATAATCAATAAACGCGAAATCCCCTTCGTATCCGATGACGACGACGACGATGACGACTGCTGGCCAACTTCAACCGACCGCTTCTGATTAGCATTTTCGGCAAGACGATAATGAAGTTGGTGTCATAGCTCTTCTGGTTAAATCTTTCTTTCTTGATGTGCACATGGCTTAGCTTTCCCCGATATTCGACCAAGTCGCTTCGAGACAAGCATCATGTACATTTACTAATCTTAGATGAGAGCAAGGGACAAGGTCAAAAGAGGAATGTTAAAAAAAAGGAATACTGTTTTGCCAATCTTTCGAGTAAGAAGAGCCTGTATTCCTTAGAGAGCCAACATTTACAAGTCATGATTTGTACCTGAATTTTGGCGGACAAAGCATAACAACTACATGACTTTATCCCCAGTTAATGAAACTGCATATATTACCAGCCTTCTATGTGCATTGGATTATAGAAGTCAAGTAAATGTTTGATTGTGTGAAGTGTTTGATAATTTATTAAATATATCTTTTTATCAAAATATATCACCCAATTCATTTAAAACCTGGTGATCCAGGTTACTGGAATTTGTATACTTGCAAAATCTGAAATAAATGGATAGAAATCAAAGGCGGGTGCAACGTTTTAGAAACTAACCATTTTATATATGAGTGAAAACCAGTCATGAAGCTAGTGAAGGTGACCATTTGGCAGGAATTGCCATAGCACATGGACCGACTTCAAGGCAATTCACAGAAAAATAAGATTTGTTATTTATTTTGGGAAAATTAATTTTACATTTAAATAAAAATGTGAATTAAACTGTAAGCTTGAAAACGTCCAGAGTTAAAAGATATGGAATTGGAAATTTTAAATAGGAAGAGAAAAAAATATTTCCTTTAAATTAAAAACAGAATGAAACAAGAAATGGAAAAGATGGAAATTATTTTCAAGTAGTGGAGGTGGGGGTCTGTTGCTCTTTTCTCTTTCTTTCATTCTTTCTTTCTTTTTTTTTCTTTCTTTCATTCTTTCACTGAAAACATTTCTCAGCGTCACCTTCCTTCCTTCCTCTCTTCCTTCCTTCCGTCGTTCCTCCCTTCCTTCCTTACTAACTTCTTTCTTTCCTTTCTTTCTTTCTTTCTTTCTTTCTTTCTTTCACTGGGACCATTTCTCAGCGTTGTCTTTCTTTATTTTGTCACGTTTCTCATTTTCTTCTTTCATCATTCTTTCCCTTGTCATCCTTATTTATTTT